GTGGTGGATTCATTTTATGGTAGTGTCAACTTGATTACATATACAGTATTGGTAACAGATACCCCAATTGGTACTTATAGCCAAAACTTAGTTAACTACATTAATGCACACAACAGCTATGGTTATTTTGCAGCAAGGAATAATTCAAGTTCCTTCAGCATCTCAGCCAGAACAGGTACAGGGGCTGCAATGAACGGTAATTCAGCTGTATACTCTTATAATGGAACACCTCAATTAAGCACAGTGTTTAGCGGTGGTGTTACGGCTATCACTGGTGGTACACCCCCTGCAACATATAAGCTAGTTCCAAGCACCATTACCCAATTTTCAGGGGCTGCCAATGCAACCACTGGTATTACAATTACATCTGGTGCAAGCCTTAGTACAATGTATTCTGTTCAGGTATCACCAAAGAAGCTTGCTGAATACATTCCTGATATGGCTTATTTAACCGATGGTAACCAGTACAGCATAACCATCACTGATGCAATTGATAATCCATTATCTGAGACTAGGAACTATATGTTCAGGGAACCAGATTGTAATGTTTGTTTCATAAATGTACTGTATGTAAACAGCCTTGGGGGTATTGATAGTATCCAGTTGGTTGCACCACAGGAAACTGTATATTTAACAAAATTGAACCTGAAGAAGAATAACCTGAACCTTGATAATGATAACCCATATATTACCAATGGTGTTTATAATCCAACTGATAGTGTTTATGCAAGTAATCTGAAGACAAATATCAAGGCTTATACAAAGGAACTGAGTGATGAAGAAGCGGTTCATCTGATTGAATTGGTGAAGTCTAAGGAACTATGGTTTGAAACCAGCTATGGTAATCTGGTTCCTTTAACGCTGGTGAATACTAGTTATAATGTACAGCAGAAGAAGTACATGGTTAACCAGCCTAATCAGTATCAGTTTGAATTCAGTCTTCCTGATAATTGGTATGAATAAAAATAAAAGATATGTCTTGTTGTAAAGGAAAAAAAAGTAATGAAAAGTATTCAAGCTGTAATCCAAAGTTTACAAATTTCTGTAACGCTTATAGTGGAAATACCCAAGGCCAAGATTGGACAAACACTTATGTAAGTGAATTAACCGTTCCCGATGGTATACAAAAAAAGTATGCTTATGTGGAATGTGGTTATACTGAATAAACAATATTATAAATGACAAATTATAAAGTATACTTAACTGATGATGCTGGTGGAATTGCTGAACTGGATACGGAGAATATTGATTTAACATCAACCTTCCAAGTTCTGGATATTACAAACATTGGGGAAAGAAGGGATAACCTGAAACAAATCAAGTTCAAAGGAACCAAGAATAACAATTATGTTTTTGGTTCCTTCTACGATTTGAGTAGGACTTCTGATTTCAGTTATTCCAACAACCTGTATTTTAACTACAATCCATTAAGACCATGTACAGCGCTGGTATATGAACAGTCAAATTTGATATTTAAGGGAACGCTTAGATTATCAGGAATCCAATCTGATAGTTATGGTAATGTAATTTATGATACAATTCTTACTGGTTCATTGGTGGATATAAAGACTGCTTTACAGGATAAGTACTTAACTGATTTAAGCTTTGCAGACTTGCAGCATAGATACCATATTAGCGGTATAACCAATAGTTGGGCAACATCAATTGATAGGTACAATACATCAACATCAGCTTACACCTCAACAGCTTTTAGCTATGGTTCAGGATACGCTTATCCTGTTATTGATTACGGTTATTACATAACAGGAAGTACAGGAACATCAATCAATCAGTTGGATATAAGGAACTTTAAACCGGCTGTTTATGTTAAGGAATACTTTGATAGGATATTTCTTCAACCTGAATTGTCTGGGTATACTTATGAAGTTAAGGGTGATTCTGATTTTAAAGCTTTGTTTAATCGGTTGATAATTCCTGATTGCCAAGAAGGAAACAAATTGACATTAAGCGGCTTTACTAGTTCTTATGGAACATCAAGCCAGACATTCAATATTACAACCCCAACACAAAGCAGGTATAATCTGGTAAACCTGAACACTATTGTTCATCCACCACCAACACTAAGTTCACATTTGCTTGAGTTGGAACCACCATATAATAATGTTCTTAAGGTTCAAAGGACGTTTACAGCGGGGGCAAGATTGAAGCTTTTCATCTCGGCAAATTATACCACAAGCCTTAGTGATACTGTTCCGGTATCTGTAAGGTTATGTAAGATGGATTATATCCATACCAATACAGGGGGTAGCTTTTGGCCTGTGCTGGGTAAGACGGATTTTGTATTAACTGCCAATACCCTTTATCAAAACACCATTGAAATAAATGTTGCAACTGCTGATTGGATGGTTACAGATTCGCCGGGGGTTGCACAGGTGGTAAGTGTTCAGGTTTATATTGGTTTGTCAAATATTCAATTGGTAAGTGGTACAGTAGGTTGCACAGCAACAACTGTTACCCTTACTGTTCCCGGTACAACAAACCAGATGGTAACCACTGAAGTAATTGCTAACAGAACACCAAGTGATTTTATCATTCCAAAAGCACCAGAAAATATTAAACAGATTGATTTTCTAAAGGGATTCATTCAGCAATTTAATCTGGTTGCCTATTCAACTACTGACAACCCCAAGCGGATAAACTTTGAAAGGTATGATGATTATTATGCTTTATTCCAGCCTCAATATATTAGGGATAACAGCTTGGATTGGTCAAGCAAGGTTGATTATAAGAACGGCTTAAAGATTGTCAGCAACATTAATTTACCTAAGTCCTATGTTTTCAGTTATAAAACGGATTCAGATTATTTTACTGACAGGTATCAGAAGACCTATAATCAAAGCTATGGCGGCTTGCAGTTTAATGATAAATATGGTTTGGTGGATAGCAAGAAAATTGAAAGTATATTTTCACCGATTGTATTATTTTCTGATTCAGGTCAAGATAGAAAATACCCAGCCTTTTATAGATTGGAATCAAACGTTAAAAAGATAACCAAGACAAATATCAGGATGGGTTATTATAACGGCTTACAAGATTGTGTTGATTATTCCATCAATGCCTTATCAGCTGGTGTATTAACCAACCTGTTCACAGGGACAACATATCCGCAGGTTAGCCATTATTACCTTACAACAGGTGGAACGGTTGTAAACAATCTTTATTTCAACCAGCCAAAGGAAGTCTTGTTTGCTGCAACTGATGATTATTTCACAGCCCCTAACAGCTATAAGAATTATTATATTAATCAAACATCTGAGTTAACAAACCCTGATGTTGTGTATTGTGAAGCTGATGTTCTGTTGAATGAAATTGATATTGCTAACCTTGACCTTCGTGTTCCTGTATATATCCAGACAGGTAAATTCAACGGGGCTTATTTTAAGGTTCTTAAGGTTCAATATTCTGGTGCTGATGAAATAAGTAAGGTCAGCTTACAGAAGATAACATTCTAAGTTTATGGTTATACAGGTTTAAAGCCCTTGGCAATTAGCTAGGGGCTTTTTTATTGGTGGTTCGGATAACATACTTATCAATGAAAGAACTACCCAATATGGCAGATAACCAGATTAAACAGGATATATTATTAAGTGTACAAGCGGACACCAACCAAGCAGGAAGCAGCATTGATAACTTAAAAGGTAAGCTTGGTGAAATACAAAACACTGAACTAGATAAACCCTTCAAAACCCTCAAGACACAAATAAAGGAAGCTGTTATTGATGCCCAGAAACTAGAACAACAGTTTGGACGGAATTCAACAGAATTTAAGAATGCTGCATCTAAAGCGGCTGAGTTGAAAGATAGGTTTGGTGAAATTAATCAGCAGATTGCAGCCTTCAACCCAGACAACAAGCTTCAATCACTTGTTCAAATTGGTAAAGGTGCAGCCGGTACACTTCAGGGAATTGGGGGTGCATTTACTTTGATTAGTGGTAATTCAGATAAAGCTTCAGAAGCCCTTTTAAGGCTTCAGGGGCTTATGTCTTTCGCTAATGCTTTGAATAGTATTGATGATATTAAGCAGGGCTTCAGCGCTTTTGGAAACGTGTTACAAGCAACAACGGTATTTCAAAAAGCCAATGCCGCTGCAACTGTTGTTACTACTGTTGCAATGAAGGCTTTAGGGTTGGGGGCTGAGACTTCAGCGGTTGGGTTTAAGGTGTTGAAGGGTGCAATTATAGCAACTGGTATTGGTGCTTTGGTAATCGGGTTGGTTGCGTTGATTCAAAACTTTGATGCTGTTAAGAAGGCTGTATTGAATCTGATTCCCGGCTTAGGGGGTATTGCAACCTTTATTGGAAATATCATTGATAAGATAACAGATTTTGTTGGTATCACTTCTGAAGCTGGTAGGGCTGCTGAAGCATTGATAAAGCAAACTGAAGCTAATATAAAAAAGACTGAAGAATTCTTGGATGCTGCCGGTTACAAGTATGACCAATACACCCAATCAAAAATCAAAGCAAATCTTGATTATCAGAAGCATCTGGTTGAAATAACCAAGGATGAAACAAAGACTGAAGCTGAGAAGCAAGCCCTATTGAAACAATACAGGGATAAAGCTGATTTTGAAATTGATAAGGCTGATGCTGATAGGAATGCTAAGATTAAAGAATCTGTTGATAAGGCTATTGCTGAAGAAAAAAGGAAGGCTGATGAAGCTGCAAGACTTAAGAAGGAAGCAGCGGCAAAACAAAAAGCCATTGATGATAACATAATTGCACAGGATAAAATAACTGCAAAGCTTATCCTAGATGCTAACCTAGCTGCTATTAAAGACCAATCAACCAAGAAGTTTGTTCAATTGGGGGCTGATAAGCAAGCTGAAATTGATGCCAGCCTTGAGGCTTTAAATAAAAAATTAATCAATCAGGAAACCTTTAATGAAAGGAAGGCGGCAATTGATTACAGATATAGAATATTAGAAAAGGATTTAGCTGTTGAACAGGCCAAGGCAACTGAAGAAGCCAGATTAAAAGCAGTTGAAGAAGCAAGACAAAAAAGCCTTGATGCCGCTGCTGATAGGGTTGTTTCAAGTGAAGCCAATGTTACCAAAACCGTAAGGGAAAACAGAATTGTAACCAATGAAAATAAAGGTGAAGGGGAACAGGTTGATACTGTTGAATCAGCAACAGCAAAGGTCAATGCTATTGCAGATGCTAAAAGGAATGCTGAACAGTTTGCTTTTGAACAGGAACTTCTTCAAGCCAATGGCAATGCAGCCCAATTGGAAGCGGCTAATCAAAACCATCAGGATAAATTATCCCAAATAGCTGATGAAGCTGCAACTTTTAGACTTGAGATAAAGCGAAGGGAACAGGAAGGACAATTAGCCCTGTTATCAGGTATAGGTTCTGCAACCTCTGCTTTAGCTGGTGTATTGGGTAAATCTTCAGTAGCTGGTAAGGCTATTGGTGTTGCCAATGCTTTAATCAATACTTATCAGGGTATTGCCGCTGGTGTTAAGTTGGGTTATCCTGCTGCTATTCCGGCTGTAATTGCCGCTGCTGCAACTGGTTTTGGTGCTGTTAAAAGTATCTTATCTACAAAGGTTCCGGGAACAGGTGATAGCGGGGCTGGAAATGTTCCATCAGTCCCAACCGCTGCAAGCCTAGCACCACAAGTAACAGCAGCCCAAACACTGCCACAGAATGTACAAGATGTAAGGGTTACCAATACACCAACTAATGAACCTGTAAGGGCTTACATAGTTGACAGGGACTTGCAAAGCAATCAGCAAAAATCAAACTTTCTTAACTCAGTAAGCAGCTTTTAATTAAACAACATACTTATTACTTATGAATCCTAAGAAAAAACTTCCAAGGTTTGAATTGAAGATTAATCCTGAATCTGATGCTGTTGTTGATGCTGTATCCTTAGTTGATGCACCAGCAATTGAATCTGATTTTATCTTTTTCGGTAAGAATACCAAGGAATACAAGCCAGACCAATTTACTGCCAATGATGAAAGGATGGAATTATTGGGTGCGGCAATGATACCTGATATAGATATATTCAGAAAGGATAATAACGGTGATGAATACAATGTTTTTTTCACCAAGGATACCATTAGACAGATTGCACAGCAATATTCAAAGATGGGTTTTCAGAACAACATGAATATTAATCATAGTTCTGTACCTGCCAAGTCTTACATCTTTCAATCATTCATAACCGATAAATCAAGGGGTATTAATGCACCAAAAGGAATTGAAGTTCCTGATGGTACTTGGATTGTGGGGGTTAAGGTTGAAGACAAAGATGTTTGGAATGATATAAAGGCTGGTAAGGTGAAAGGCTTTTCAATTGAAGGCTTATTTCAATACATAGAATCAAGCAAATTTTCGCTTGTAAATGATAACAATGATGAACAAAGTAGTGATGAAAAAACTATTGATATGTTCATTGAGTGCTTAAAAACAAAAAAATTAATAATGAATAAGACACAACAAGAACTGATGATTCAGCACTTGAATTATTTAAAGCTTTCCAATCAGGGACAAACTTATTCAGAAGCTCAATTAAAGATTTCTGATAAGATTGTTGGTGGTAAGGTTGAAAAGATTAATCCAGATGGTTCCCTTGCACCAATTGAAGATGGTGATTATACACTTGATAACGGCTTTGCATTTAGTGTAAAGGATGGTTTGATTGTAAGTATAGAAGGACAGGAAGCCCAAGCTTCTGATGTTCCTGCTAGTGGTGACACTGGAACAGGAAGTACTGAATCAGAAATGGCTGTAAGTGGTGACACTGCAACTGAAG